AGGTGCTCCAGCCCCTGGATCATCCTTGTGGCCTCCTCTGAACACACTCCAACAGATCCACGTCCCTCTTATGGTGGGGGCACCAGAACTGGACGCAGGATTCGAGGTGGGGTCTCACCAGAGCAGAGCAAAGGGGGAGAATCCCCTCTCTTGCCCTGCTGACCACGCTTCTCTTGATCCATCCCAGGATGGGGTTGGCCTCCTGGCCTGCATGAGCGCCCTGCCGGCTCGTGTTGAGCTTCTCCTCTATCAACACCCCCAAATCCTTCTCTTCAGGGCTGCTCTCAAACCACTCTGTGCCCAGTTTGTATTTGTGCCTGGGATTGAGCTGTCTGTCACTCTATTATATTCATTCCGCTAGCGAGGAAACTATTTTAAGGGTAGTCTTGTTGGAGTTATTTAGTACAATGCGTGAGTCTAAAAAGAATAAAGATATTTATTTGATATCTCAAAATTCATAGCTCAGCTCTTTCACTTAAATCCCATTGGCCAGGCATCCAATCGCACGTACCCCACATAAATATAAAAAACAATTAGGAAAACGTTAAAGCAAGCAGCACTAACATTTGTTGAGAATATAGTGCAATCTTACAAGGCTCAGTTTCATTATTTCAATCTGATTAGCTGTGCAATCTTTACTACTTGGGTTACTGTACTATTAAGCACAGGGTACCGAATGGTCAAATTTATAGATAGAAAGATGCAGTACTAAACAAAGGTACTGGCCAGCATGAGCTGCTAGGTTTTTGTTGATGTCCAACTCCATCATTCTGAAACAGCCGTTTCTTGCCGTACTAATCAGTGGAACCACACTCAGAACCCTGGAACTTAAAGAACCTCTGCATTTGCAACATTACTCTAAACACACCTGGACAATATTGGGAGAATATATGATATTAAAGATTGTTTTCAAACATAAGTTTTCTTCCAGTGATTACTCATTCACAAGTTTTTAAATAAAAGTTTATTACAGAAATTATTTTGAACAAAAAAGGCAACAGTATCTGTTGTAATTAAAAAACCAAAAAAGTAACATTATTGATGCCCTATAAGGTGAACTGAAGAAACGCTACAGGTATTTCTTCGCTGTCATTCCGTGATTCTTTCTGGTATGGGTTAACTCACATCTGCATCACAATAATTAAGTATGAGCACAGTCCCTTTCCGTGCTTCTCTCCAGAAAGTGCTGCATATAAACAGAAAATGTTGCAGACAAAGCACAGCTCTATTCATTCTGCAGTATTGGAACCAGTGTCTAGAAAAGAAAGAAGAAAGTGTGAGTAATACTTTCCCCCCCTACAGCCGAGTACAAATTAAAGAGAACCAAACCCACTCCCCAACACCTTCCCCAAGCCCTTCGGAACACGTTCTGCTCCCACCCACCTCCCTCCACTGCCACCACTGAGCTGCTTGTGCTGTTTCACTTTGCAACACTGAAAAGAAAACTGGGAGGTTGTGTGCACGCACCATTTGCTATCGAGGCACTGAAAATACAAGCAGCTTTGCTTTAACTCGTAGCGATACACAACAACCACTTGACTGCAGCCAGCCACCGGCACGTCTGGCTCAATCACACAATCCCCTCAAGAGAAAGGGGTTTGCACATCCAGCAGCGTGAGCGCCTACGGATTGTGGTTTACTCCCGCACGGCTAGGATGCATTTTGAACTAAGATGCAAGAATCAGCATGATCCTCATCAAACAACTGAGAACAATCCTCCGTTGCGAACTTTCATCATAAGCACCAGTTAACACCAGCGCAACTTCTGGCATTCCTACTGTTGGTGCTTTTTTTTTGTTCTTAGAGCTATGGAAAAACGTGTAACTGGTGTATGGAGGAGGAGAAGTCAGGGTTTACTACGTCCCTTTAGCCAGTGAACTTCTTGTGGGAAAATAAGGCTGTAGTGTTAACAGCGACTTTTGGTCACTCAGTTCTTTCAAACTTATCTGCGTACTTTATCGAGAGTGAAAACAATTAATACCTGGAAAGTAAGGTTTCCTCTACTAGTTAGAATAAGCACACAAAAAATACACTGAGTAAGATTATGTGCTTGGCTAATACCAAAACTCGAGCAAACAATAAATTCTGTCAGCTCTTGAGAACTACAACCTGAAGTGACTACTCTAATCACGCCAGGATCAGGAAGCCACAACGAACTTGTTTCAGAGGTCTAGGGTGTACTAAAATAAAACCTTTTCCCTTCACAGTTCTTCCTTTTAGCATCCCTCCCCTTGACACAAAACAAGTGGCACCGTTTCATGTCTTTGGCAACATTCTGCCACGGGCACGGTTTTAAAAGTTATGAACCAGATTGCCACAAAAGTCGCTAAAGGACTTTTTCCAGTCAAATATTTCAAGGAATGCTGGCAAAAAGCAATCCAGCCGAGCAGCTGTGGAACATTAACTCCTGGAGCATACAGGGGGCCTGTTGAGCAATATACAAGTTTTATAATATGATTTGCGAATGCTCGCACGAGCTTTTCACGTTCTTGGGTGCCCTACTGGCAACTCCAGCTCACAACCGTTTAGAGAGTTTTCTCAGGCAGTTGCTCGCTCCAACTGAAGAAGCACTCCTTGAATTCAATAAAACGGGGTGGGGTGTTCTAACAAACAGGTTAATACTAGAAAAATAACCACAGAGAAATTCAACTGAGATTACTTCTGACTTTCTAATTGGTCTAGTAGCGCACACTCCCCAAGAACAGGCGTAGAGCCGTCTCGTAACACATTCCTGTTGTGGTGCTTACGAGACAAGGAAGCCTTTAGCTTGGTTTTATTTCGTTTCTCACATGTAAAAGGGAGCGCGGAGCCCTGCTTCTGTCTGAATAATACAATCAGTCTAGCTTTAACCAAACATTCGGTCAAAGCCTTCTACACGCAATCAAGCCCTGTGTCTCAGTTTATTTACATCATAGGCCATACTTACTTTTTCCATCACATGCTACAATTTTCACTTTATCCACTTTCACAAGTTCAGTGACCTCCCTAAATTCAACATCATTCAGTACAAACGTCCATACGTTGTCACAGAACCTGTATGTATTCAGAGACCCCTTTAAAAAGACAAGAGACATTTTCTATAGGACGCATCCCAAAAGGAACAGAAAATACGACGTTTGCTATCTACTGAGCTACGTACCTTCTAGAACTAGGCTTGCCACAAAGCCAGCTGTGAACCTGAATGCAAACAAACTCGGCAAGCAAGCAATTCTGACGAAAACTGTAGTTTAAATGCCCTCCAGTGGCTGAAAATTTCAAGACCATGTGGTGGTTAGTTTATCCAAGGGGAAGCTTCGCAGGTACGCCGAGAAGCTTTGGAACTTTTCTCACGGGGTATAAAGGACGAGTAGGAGAAAAGATTTCTTAAAACGTGGGCCGTAAGAAAAAAAATCAGTCACAGCAGTGAGCATAACAAGATGTTAATCGTGCAACTGTTTAAATAAAGCAATAATTTAAATAAAAAAGGGTGTCAAAACGGACCGATGTGACATAGAGGGGTTTCCCTCATGTTTGATGTATTACTGACATGCTGATAAGAAAACCTTTCACTTTCACATATCTTAAACTGATAATCTTGAACTTAAGCTCCATGTAACATATTTTTTAATTTATCCACTGAACACATTCTGAATAGCTTTCTATACCAACTTACATATATAAAGTGAGTTAGATAAAAGAAAATACCCGTACGGTTTAAAAGCTCACAGCTCATGGCTGTGCTGCCATTCAGCGAGACCTGGACA